TAACAATGGAGAAAATCGGTAAGGAATTTTAATCTAATTAGATACTTACTTCAAAACAAGTTCATATTATTTATATCACCTGATGTCATTAAACAACGAAAATGGATGATGTTAATAGTCCAGTGGCGTCGAGGCCCCAAAAGTTATTGACATCATATAAAACTTCTTCATATTCTGTAGCGTTAATCAATTCAATTCAAAATTCCAATATCTACTTGCACTGTGAAAAATTATAGAACCAAGATATATACATTTTTTCATCACGAATTTCAAATCACCGTATTTGTATTTACCTAGCTAGTGAACGGACTAGCGAACTAGTCCTTCGGACTAGGAACTAGAAACGAGAGGGAGAAAGGCTCATAGAATTCTGCCAAGAAAAGAATATGGTAATTGCCAATACTTGGTTTCAGCTTCCTAAAAGAAGACTATATACATTGACGTCTCCTTCACATACAGAAAACCACATTGTCAGAAACCAGATAGACTTTATACTCGTAAGTAGCAGATATAAAAACTCTATAACCTCAGTTAAAACTTATCCTGGAGCAGATGTTAACTCAGACCACAATCCGCTAGTGGCTGAGGTGAAAATAAAATTAAAAAGAATTGAACTCAGAAAACAACAACCAAAAATTAACGTAAGAATGCTACAAAACGAAGAAATAAAAAACGAAATAAAAAATAATGTGAATGTTAATATGCAAAAAACACTAACTAACAACAAACAAATTATGGATGTAAATAAAAAGTGGTGTAATATAAAAAACACATTACTGAAACCAGCTCAAGAAAGTTTAATAGAACATAAATCACAGGCTAAAAAACACTGGATGACAGAAGAAATACTATTACTGATGGAAGAAAGAAGGAAATATAAAGGAAAAGATCTACAGAAGTATAAAGAAATACAACGAATAATTAAGGAAAAAATCAAAACAGCTAAGGAAATCTATTTGATGAAGCAATGTAAAGAGATAGAAGAACTAGAAACAAAATATGATATGAGAAATATGCACAAAAAAATTAGAGAAAGTGACTGGAATGGGTCGAAATAGACAGCAAAAACACATAAAAGACAAAAACTACTAGTTTTTGTCTTTGCCTAGTACTTAGTAGTACTAGGAGTACTAGATTTACCAAAGAAGTTAAGGCGATAGGAGGAGTACGTTAAATAACTTTTCCAAGATGAAAGAGGTGAAATGCAGAAAAATACAAGAATTAAATCCTTTAGAGATAAGAAGATCACGATAGATGAAATCAAATATGCTATCAAAAACTCTAAAGACAATAAGGCAGTTGGATTAGATGAAATACCAGTAGAACTCTTAAAACTAGTGGAAGAGGACAACTTGGAAGTATTGGCAGATTTATTCAACACGGTGTACGATACAGGAATAATACCACAGGAGTGGCTAAAGTCAGCATTTATAATCATCCCTAAAAAACAAGCAGCAAAAGAGTGCTCTGGTTATCGAACACTGAGCCTCATGAGTCATACTTTAAAAGTTCTGCTAAAAATAATACATAAGAGAATATACGAAAGGCTAGAGGAGGATATTAAGATATTAAGTAAGACATGAAAAACTAATATCAATACTTATGAACAAGCGCATTGACAGTAAAATCAAAATATAGTGCAAACATTATATTGGAACCAAAGTGCCATAGTTCAAATTGATGGGCAACACTCAGAAGAAATGAGGATCTGTAGAGGAGTTAGACAGGGATGTGTGTTATCACCACTTTTGTTTAACTTATATTCTGAAGAAATTTTCCAAAACACGCTCAATAATATCGAAGCGGAGAGTCACCGTTAACGGAAAATTAATTAATAATTTAAGATATGCAGACGACACTGTGATCATAGCAACGAGTATAGAGGATCTACAACATATTATCGAAAGCTTGAGTATAAATAGTGCTGAGATGGGAATTACTATAAACGCCAAAAAAAAACGAAGTACATGCTGATTACAAAAAGGCCACAAAATATACATCACCTATTGACAATAAATGGTAACGTGATAGAACAAGTAGAAAAATATCAGTATTTGGGAACTTTGATCAATGAAACCAATGATCATACTGTAGAAATAAACAGACGAATAGAGATTGCCAGATCAGCATTAATACGAATGAAGCCACTCCTAACGTGCAAAAATCTAAATTTGGAGATCAGACTACGTACCATTCGCTGTTATATATTTTCAATATTATTATATGGAGCTGAGACTTGGACATTAAAAAAATGTAATTTAAAAGAATCGAGGCCTTCAGAACTCTGGTTATACCGCAGAGTATTGAAAATATCATGGACTGATAGAAATACAAATAAAGAAGTACTGGAGAGGGTTGGTAAAGGAAACAGAACTAATCACCACTATACAAACCAGAAAACTGGAATACCTAGGCCGACGTGATGAGGGGGTCCAAAATATGAAATTTTTGAGACTGATAATACAGGGAAAGATTCAAGGAAGAAGATCTGTTGGCCGAAGGCAGAACTCATGGTTAAAGAATCTACGTGATTGGTACCAATGCAGATTCGATTGATTTGTTTAGAGCAGCAAGTTCTAAAATGAAAATAGCCATTATGAATTGCCAACCTCCGTAGGGAGACACACTCTAAGAAGAAGCTAGTGAAGAATTAGAAAAAACTGTCATGAAGGCTGACAACGAAAGAATAACTATCAATCATCAAATCATTTATGCTGGACGCTTAATTACACCAAATGAAAGATAACTGATCTCTAATGTTTGTCCTAGTATTTTATCACACTTTCATAGAATATGAACTTAAAAAATTAGGGCTCAATTTATTACCTCCATTAATTTTTTACGAAGAGTGTACAACAAACCTAGTATATAGATATATATTGAGCTTTCCAAGACATACATTTATCTTTCCTTTGAAAGCTACATTAATTTCTCCTTCAATTGTCAGAAACCACGATCAAACAACTAATCGTATTTTCTTATCTTTAGAAAACAGATCTGTTACATAGTAAAAAAT